CTCATTTTGCTTCCGAGAAACATGCAAAACGGGACGGAAAACATGAAATTTTGCAATAATCTTGCGCCACCCTTGCACAAAACGACGATCATTTTAATTTCATAGATAACAGAAGACTGTATTTTTTCTACATGGATCCGCCCCTGTTTATAGATGCATTTTTTCGTGCCATTTCAAGCCCACACATATTTTTTCAATCATATTAACCCAGTCAGTTCGGAACACTTTCCAAGTAGTTTCCAGACGCTTCAGCCGACTCAAAGTTTTCCTTGCACACTTCTAACTCAATTTACTTCTGGCATTGCTGTTGCCAACAATTCGAGCAATCTTGGTCGCATAAACTAGAGAAATAAGCCAGTACAATCCTCAATAACTTACACACGGTGCCGGCTTTGGGATGCGCCTCGAAAACTATGACACTCGCAATTTCCCTTTTTACTGAGTTTGACAGGTGGGATAATGCCCGTATGTGGAGAAGCTCTTCGTAAATTATTTCCAGGTCGTCTGCAGTTCGCTCGTGACCTCTGAAACAACATAGAAAAGCATACAGTTTATGGGTTTGGACAAAAGCAGCTGGTGTTTTCCCATAAAAACTGACCGGAATCGACTGTCATTTATTTTATCAGCTACTGTTTCAAATGGCAAATGTACTGAAAGAGGGCTATGGATTTTATTTGCCAAAATAATGTTTCATGAAAATGTGATTTGCTTCCTGCGGAAAATCAAACAGATTTAACTGGATTTTCTAGAGAGCGTCAGTTGGGATTATGATATTCACAAAAGCTTTCTGGTTAATAAAGGACCAGTGAACATTTAGAATAAAATAAGTTATGTTTAAAAACGAATATTGAAAAAACGACATTAAAACTCTTGTTGAAAGTAACGTCGTTTGCTACGCGAAAATAATGACGCACTTCTCAACCCACGATCCGGAATAATTAATGGTTATTCTGTATCTTTACACTTTTTACCCAATCTTTATCAAATTATCCTCTCTTGTTTATAAACATTATTTAATTAGCAACTGGATGCAGTATTTCCTTCCTTCACAGGAAAATTAGATATGAATTAACCAGAAACAGAACATTTGCTTTAACAAGGGTAAAATACCCTTCATTTATAACAGGAAAACTGGAGCATTAATTCTTTCACCTTCCTGGCCAAGCTCTAGGGTATTTGCTTAATGTTGTTCCAGAAATTGGTTATTTGATTAATTTTCCTTTTCCTCATTAATCTTTTTCAAATGTTTCTCAGCATTTACTTACTGTTTTCTCAAGATCATTCTCAGGTAAGCATCAGGTCCTCGATTCACCAACGTCCCCAGATTTTCCATTAACTGGTCTTCGGCTGTCGCGATGTCTTCAGAAGGTGGTAAAGCTGTCGCTCCCTCTTCATCTTGCCAGAATCGATAGAGAAAGCATTTGTCTTTGAACGGCTGTTCTTTGCTAACTGAAATTAGTAAAAGTGGCAAATAATAATTTAAATGAAATTTGCTGGGAAACGGTAGCTAGAGCTGGTTGAACATGATTACTTTTTAAAGAAGTGCACTTTAGTTCATATTTTTGTTTTGCATTTTTTTGTGTCTATTCGTTGTCTCTGTAAGTTAGCGATAGGAAGTAGCTAGTTCGACTTTTGGATTCATTTAATTCTTACGTTTTGTGTCTGCTTAGTGAATTTTTGTTTTTGGCCTAGTATTTTTCCTAGACATTTTACTTCTTGTTTTGAAGTAATTTGAGTAAAATTTCGTGGTTTGGTAAGAGCACCTGGATTTTCGATGCGTTTTGATGCAACAAAGATTCTGCATACATTTATTTCGAGTTGGATTTTTGCGTTAATTTGAAATAGTGAAACAAAAAAACTAACAAAAAATTTAAATCTTTCTTACAAAATTAATACCATCGCGTTCTGCTAATTAAGTATATTTTTAGTATATTCATTTGTGTTGTTGTGTTTTTTTTGCAAATTCATTGGTGTTTATTTATATAGTGAATAAAATTTATTTTAAATTTTCTGAGGCAATAATACATGTTTCGATTTGACTTAATGACTAGGGGAATTTTTGATGGGATGAAAGTCGAATTTGTGAAAGTATAATGTATTATCAATAATTAGGTCTGAAATCGTACGAAAATACAGAAGCAAAAGTAGCACCTACAAATGAAATATTACAAATTCAATCGCCGTCAATTAACAAAATTAACGTATCTGGAAATATGGCACGAAAAGAGTCCTTGAAAAATTTGATTAGAGGGTAAAGTAAAAACGGAAACTATCCAGGATTCGTTTCTGAGGAAGCCAATAAAAGTGTATTGAAGTGGGGTATAAGAAGACTTTAATGTTACCGAATATCTTCGAGCCGACTCTTACATTCTTTACAGAGAAGACTTATTCTTAAATCAAATTAGAACTCCTTATTGCTTGTACGAAAGTTTTTATAGTCAGAATAAGAAACTAGTAAATTAATTTTATCAAAGAAATTACAAAAAATAAGTCTCAATTTCCAAATACGTTTGGGTATAAAAAGGTATTGAAAATAATGAACACGAAGCAAAGCTGTGGAAATAATGAGAAAAAATCTCAATTCTACAGATCCGTTTGCTCACTACTAACCAGCTAATCATAATTTGCTTATATTGCTAATTGATCAGCATTTCCAGCTGAAACAATTCCAAACATCTACAATTTTAATGAATAAAGAAGTTAGTCTAGAAATTCAATTTCAATTTATCCACCGGAAGCGAACTGTTTTAGTGATATTGACTGTAATTGAAATTAAATCAGAGTTTTACGTTAAATTGGATAAGTTGCGATTGCAATCCCTCGAAGGTTTAAGTTATTTATTTACGGAATTGCAATCTAAATGAGAGAATTGGCAAGTTTCGAAATATGACAACCGTATTCTGTGTGTGCAAAGAAACAACGATCAACGATTTTCTGAAATAACGTCTTTTGAAACGATTGAAAATTCTCCATCTCCAATCTTTGTCCATGCAGAAAATTACAGTAATTTTTTATTCGGAAAAAATATTTATTTTACGTGTATTGTTTGCGTTATGTTGGGTATTGTATGTTCTTATATTTCATCGCATTGTCTATAAAATGTATTACAATTTTTCTGAGGCAATAAGGCATATTTTGGAATACGGAATTGCAATCTAAATGAGAAAATTGGGAAGTCTCGAAATAGGAGATCCGTCTTCTAAATGTGCAAAGAAGCAACAAATTCCTGAAATAGCAGCAGCTGAAATCATTAAAAATTCTCCATCTTTGGACTGGGAAGATGGGAGAATGTTTGTTTCAATCAAATACAATTAAAATTATATTCAACTCGTATCAAGCCAACTTAAACCTACTTTATATTTACTCTAGAACAAGGAAACATATTTTCTTTAGGCGGATTGGGCGATATTTCCAGACAGTAATTGATAAATGTATTTTATTTCTAGATCTCATGTTTCTCCCTTGAGAAAATAATTTAAACGCAATATCCTAGTCACGTTTTCGTCGTATTAACTTGAAGGATAGGGAGAATGAAGATTATTTAGCAGCTCGACTATATCATGACTCATGAGGCATATAAATTGTGGTGAGTTCCTTTGCTTCGAACGTGACAAAGAACCGAACAACTTTACAGGCCATATAAGTTGGAGTTGAAAGCCTACAAGTACCTAATATTTGAGGCTGTTGGAATCAATTTGTCAAATTTCCTCTTGTGTCCTCAACTTTTTCTAAATTAATTTGCAGGTTCAGTCACTTTAAAGCATTTTTCGCCCAGCCAGTGTTCAGTCAAAAACTGTTCAAACAGCCAAGCGAAGCTCATTGTTGAAACGTTTCAAAACCCCCTGTTTGAAATCCGCAAAGTTCAAACGTGACTCTTCTACCAAATAAAATCCGTAATTAAAGGCTAATTTAAGAGGCCTTTTGAATGTTAAACTCGCTGCTTAAATACATAAACTCCCATGTTTATAGTCTACCCTAATATAACAACAACGCAGGAAAACTTTGCTGTTTATGACGCAGATTATTACATTAATGTTGGTAACATGGACATTTCGGCCTGTTGGAAAGTTACTGAAACGAGGGTTCATAAAGTGCATATTGCTGTACCTACTAATTTTCCTGATGGGGAATTCGCAATGTTCTAAGTTTGAATGCTTAATAGACACTGTTCCATGTTAAACAGGAGCGAGATCAATTATTAAAAATCAGTGGGCAGCTTGTAAAAAACCGATTGAGACCGAAGGAAAATCATTCCAGGAATCAGCAATATATAGCATATGAGCTATCTAATATCCAGAAATTCCAGCTCGAATACCGCATATATAGGGGGCAAGAAACATTCTGCTTAGTCCTGGTATATTAAATATTTAGGATCCTGAGAGATCGTTGCGGGATGCTGGATTATGGCTGAGGATATTATCGTGCTGGTATCATGACTTGGATATTGCCTGTCCTATTATGAAAGATAATATATCATGAAGAAAGCCCATGTGGTATGGGATTCAAAATAGGTAAAGAAACTCGTTAAATTCTGTTGGATTTATTAAGGCATTGTGAAAGTTGGCTTGAGCTTGATTAAGATTGAGTACTTTCACAATAAGCAACCCACAAATCATGCACACCTCAAGTCGTGCAACACATACAATCCATTGCGTTTTCGGTATAAAAACACGAGTGAAATTAAATTGTCTATTTCAAAGTAATCGGAACTGACTGAAAAGACCATGAAAGCCGAACTTCAGCAATTGAGTCATTTGGATGCAAAGCATCCAACTTTAGCAAAGTTTCGCTTTTCAGCCAACTGGAAACATTCACTATTGCACATTGAATAACACAGTCAGCAGGTCACTCTGCAATAATGCCAGCTGTAATAAAATTACTTGCAGGAATGCAGGAATTGAGCTCAAAGTTGTTTGATAAAGACTTGAGGTTTGCTGTGCCAACCAAAGACGTTTTATGAGGTTTCTTTAGCGAGCAAACACCTTTATATGTCGCATAAAAAGGCTTTTTCATGAGTAATTAAGCGAAGGGAGAATGATCCATTTTAGGGTGTGATCTAACAGAAAAGGCTTCAGTGTTTTCTTGCCTATGGCACAATTTGTGTTGGCGTTTTTCTAGGTTTGCCTTTGAAGTTGAAATTATTTTTCAAAACGGTACTGGCATAGCTTGAATTTTTCCATTTTCAATCAAGCTGGCAGCAGTGCTTTTTTGCTGCTCAACTAGTGTTGTGCCCGAAAGGTACAGCCCAGCTTCCCTGAAATAGTCTTTCTTGACTAGATTGTTGCCAGATTAAACTCTGAACTTCGACCGAAGAAGACATTGTTCGAAAAGTTTCCAATGCGACACTGATAGAGCCCAGAAAGATTCAAATGAATTTGGCAGCAGTGTTTTCTTGCTGCTCAACTAGTGTCGTGCCCGAAAGGTTTCGTTTTTCTTGACTAGATTTAACTCTGGATGCAGTTCGAAGTAGAAATTGTTCGAAAACTTTCAGATGCGACGCTAATAGAACACAAAGAGCTGCATATAAAATTGGTAACAGTGTTTTCTCGTGGTTCGAGCAGTGTCGTGCACGAAGAGTTTCGACATTAAACCGTCTAAAGTATGTCGTCCTCCAACGTAAAACGAGAAAAGAGGGACGGCGTGCACGGCACTGGTTGGAACGAATCAGACTATAGAAGAATAAATTTAGAAAGCATTTATATGTCGAATTTGTGGGAAATCCTCGGGTGCGACACTGGTGGAGCCTAAAAAACTTCAAATAAACCCAAACAGCTTTTTCTCGCTGCTCAATCAGTGCCCCACCCTAAAGTCTCGTTATAACCGTAAAAGCAATCTGGCAAGATTGTTTTTTAGACCAATCTAAACGACTTATCTCACTTTTCAAATACAATATTTCGATATCTAGAGCCTAATTTCCGGGAAAAAAATTATAAGAGTTGCAATAGTTGCCTGTAAAAAAATTGTAGCGCTTGAAGGGAAAGATATTCAGAGGTTCTAAAATTCAAGTGCTCGCTTACATAAACAATAAAAATCAGCTTAGCTTCTTTTGCATCCACAGCCTTTGGGATATAAATTCCGTTAACCTACGTTCCTGTTCCGGAAATGCTGCACTGGAAGAACTTTTAATTCAATTGTTGCCCTTTGAACTAGACGATTTTGGCATATAAAGCTCGCATTTTGTATGGTAAAATTCTTCTAACTCTTATTTAAGATTTATTCACAAAAACACATATAAATGTTCAATCCTAATTAATCTACCAAAACATACTGGACAGAGCTTCAGTTCAGTTTTATATTACTTGAAAGTGTGCTTTAAAGAAGTGGTTTTATTGCTAATTAAAGACAAACATGTTATGGACGCAGCAACTAATTAAATTTAGAAATTTGCAAGATTGCAAGGTTTGACTCAAGGTAGAAGTTTATTCGGTTGATATGTTCTTGCGGCTGCAAACATTTAAAAATGTGAGATGGAAGAAGGGACACAGGCAGAATAACAAATTATAATCMAAATKAATGTTARATATTTTTCTYCTATACGCATACTGATCTTTTCTAAATTTGKRTTRGAAGAGCTGAGACAAGAAAATTCCCAAAAATCTTTGATTTTCTGAAACATTTTCAARATTAATAAAGGATACTATTGTATAATATATAGGAAGCGAAAGGAAAATGACAAMAATTTGAAAATGAAAGTGGCAGGCAGATTTTATTTTCGACTGATCATCAGTRGTAGTGTAGGCAATATATTAGTTGCAAATTTTATTTTAWATTTTTGCCTTSAAAATTATCAATTGAATAATAGTTTTRCAGTTTCATAACCAWTTCAGTTTCCTTACTTTTTAATGTTCAGTCTTAGTTTCGCTGGCYCCATGGGACTAACTGTATTTAAGCGCATGTGAGTTCTAAAATTCATTTAATAGCGGTGGTTTTCTAAATTGCAATTTMAATKTKATGCTYTTTAAGTSGTTCCTTTAAATAACTGAWACTGGGTCAAAATTGAWTTCTTTCAATKAAAATCTAATCCAGTCCAGTAGTTTTTAACTGATTTTCCTTTTAAATAACGAATTTAATTTTMTCTTTTCTCTGAGTCACATTTRAATGCGAAATTGTAGTTTGTACAWATCGTTTACGACAATATAACGAAAATCCTTCAGTACTTTGCAGGTTGAAAGCAGTCATTGCTGTATTCGATTAAATTKAWTCATTTGTAATTTGTCTTTGAAGAGAATTTTAAATCTTATCTAARTCTTAAATCTTARTCTAATTTATACRCATGTACTTRAATGTCGTTWTTTTTTTAAATTTTATTTTGSMCTTTGCGGCATCTCAAACTTGTGCTCTTTATACYGGAAGTAAACTCACTTTGAGACTTTGTTTTGTTATTTGCTGTTATAATTTTAATTTTATWTTYCATCACATTCCGGCAGCYAAATATTAATTTTTACTTTTGAAACCAGAAGATTGATTAGCTTGGCGTTGATTGTTCGTATTAAAATAACGCCTGCATATTTGGCTTCATTATGTACATTACATTCTGCCAGAGGCGCAATTTTTCGAATACATGAAAGAATTTATGGTAAATTGCAGTATTTGCGTGTTATATGAACGTGAATTTCAAAAAAATATATATTTCACTGCTAATCTCGTGTTTTTTAGACGCATATTGTTATATAACAATATGGAAAACGCCTGTATGGGTGTGCATAATCTCATTAGGCCACAAATAAACACCTTAATCGGGGAATTTTTTGCAAGTTTGATATGTTCAAGCAGCATTGGGATCCACTAGAAAAACAGCTGGAATTTTTATCTTTGGAATGCATTTAAAGCAGTCAGAAGCTCCTGTAGAAAGCCGAGCAAACGGTGGATTTATCCGGGAAAAATTGAAATTTATATCCCAAAACACTCAGCTTGTAGTTCCCTTTTAAAAAAGGTGCTAAATTTTTTGACGGTTTTAAATTTTCAAAAATAGAGGAATAAGCTTTCATGCTTTGCATTTTAATTCCGGAGATTCCTGAAAGCGATGGCGACGATCGACATTTATTTGCTATAAAATACAGCTTAGTTTTTCGCAGTTTTTAGTTTTTGAAGTTCAAGCTATTGTCGCTTGAAGACCACATAATTTATTTAGGTAAAGGATCTACCGGCAGAATTCAATACTCTTTCAAACCTCTCGTCATCTATGAAATGGTGCTTGATTTTAATATTCCATTTCACGAAAACCAGTTTATATAATGTATAGAAAATTAACTATTAATTTCAAGGGCCAGAAAATTATTCTTTTGAATTAGAGCAGTTTAATCGTGTAGATGTAGTTTAATCATGAAGTAAAAACCATAAGATCTTTCCTCAATGAGTGTGACATTCTACCAGCATTGGGAATCTTTTTAGATCTGTCCAACGCTTTTGATAGTCTTGATAGAAACATTTTATTGGGAAAAATTGGGTATTTGTTGAAAAATATGTTGAAAAATATGTTCATGAGTGGTTTGTTTTATTTTTGAGTAACATAACTCAAAGAGTTATAAAACATATATAAAGCGAAATTTCATACAAATCGGGGATAGTGAAAAATTCAGTAGGAATTTTACAAGAGAATATACTTGGGCCGGTCCTATTTATAATATACATATATGAACTTTTCTCAAACTCACCATGGGAAATAACACCTTCTTCAAGCAAGGCCTGCCACATACCAGCTGCCTGAGGCCTGGAGTGAATACCAGGTGATAAATTCATAAGCCATTCTACCAATTCCGTGCCAGGAGCACATCTCCGCACCAATCTTCCAGAAACTTTTCTGTCCTTCAAGCAGGTGTTTTGAGCTTGAAACAGATTATGTAGAAATAAGTTTTATTTTACCCCATTCCAAACACTGCGAGAATTAATAAAACTCCCAGCCTAATAAGTTCAACTTCACTGTAGAAGGTTTAATTGTATATTTTTGCTTAAGTTGATTCAGTGAGCATTTAATTAATTAGCTGAACACTTCGATTATCTCGCGCCTTCAGGTCCTCCTTAACTAGGCAGAGCATTAACAAATTACAAAGTAAAACGTAAAACATAAATATTGAGCAAACGGCTTTGTTAATTTATCTGAAACATAGACATTTACTCCCGCTTTAAAAGCCTATTTGAAATTCCGTTTTAAAAGCGAAAACGCATTAAAGCCACTCTGAAAGGGTGGCAACGCTGATGTAAATGTGTAACGTGGAAACATGTTAAAAGAGACACATTTTCAGACTAAATTTCAATTGGGTATTCAACTGTCTATTCAATTTTGAGATTAGTTTTTTCCATTTTTAATATTTTCTCAGCGAAGTTGGCAAATTATATATGAATTCACCACATTTAAAACAGTCCAAAGCTGGACCTAATATAAATTACTCAAGTGAGGTCGAACTCGTGCAGAAATATTGTTAAGTGGAACAGATTTTTCTACTCTCCAGCGAAATCCGAAGCTGCAATAAGCTATCAAAGAATCGAGTTTCAGTCAAGAGAGGATATATATAGCTGATTCTTTTCGGTTCAACACCTAGAAGGGAAAAGGGCCGAGTCTGGCCGTTTTACCAATACGACTGGCTTTTAGTGTGCGCCCTTTTCAAACGTTTACTATATTAGCCCATAGGAAAGGGTGCAACTTTGCAAAACTAAAAAAAGCTACACGGTTTTAGGAAAATCCCGAAAAAATGTTAAAATCTAATTACATAGAAGTAAGATCCTAAGAGCCCATCCAATCCGACCAATCGCCTGGCTGGGTTGATCTGTGATGGGTTCTGCCGGATTTGGTTGGTCTGGAGACAATGATCTTCTAGGCGTTGATGAACCTGAGTGGTTCATTCCTTTGCCTGACATCCCAGAACCAAAGCCTGCAACAAATTAAACATTGAAACTGGCGAGTTTTCCGGGCTTTACAATCGCCGTTCAAAAAAATCTTCATAACGTTTCCCGGACAAGAGTGCGTGTTTACCAGTGAAAAAAGCTCAAAAGCTCATCAGGAAGAATATTAAAATTATTGATTTGATTTATTGACGAATGTTGGCAGCTCCTGTGAATTTTTCCTAGAGTATATTTCTATTTACCGATACATTTTCTATATGTGTGAGTGTTATTTTCGGATACTGAAAATGCGCAAGCAATTTTGTGGGAGCGAACAGCTCATTTTGCTCATATTTTCACCATCATCGATTATAACTTGTATCAGTTCCTAATATTTTCGTCTATTTTCTTCATATCTGCTTTTTTACTGCAGGTTTACCATCACAAAAATAACACATTTTAACGGTCTCATTTAACACCATTGACGCAATTTAATAATGAACTGAAGAAAGTAATTTATTTCCCCAATTAGTTGCATTCCGAAAATTTTACCTCAGTTTGGCAACTTCAAATAATCAAGCTTCGAACCGCTTTTTATAGGTTTCTGATGCCATTTTAAAATCCGGATGCTCAATTGATCTTTTGTTCAAAAAGTGAGTGCTCAGAAACTAGAATAGATAGAATAATGCTGGTGGGCTTTGAGAATGGAAAAACTCTTCCTCTATTAAGGTGAATATTTTCAATTCTAGCAAAAATTCAGTTGATTTTTGCGATTTTTTTAAATTCCGTTTTTAAGCTCTGTATCGATTTACTTCATTAATCAACTGCTCAGAAACTAGAATATATAGAATATTGCCTGTTCCTCGCTTGAAAAGCGGATGTTTCATTCTCCTCAAGGAAACATTTTCCTATTCAAACAGTTTTTGTACCTTTCTTGTGCCATTTTAAGATTTTTTAAATTCCGTTTTCAAGCTTTTCGCCGATTTACTTCATTAATCAACTGCTCACAAACTAGAATAATTAGAATATTGCCTGTCCTGTACTTCAAAAACGGATGTCTTCTTCTATTCAAACAGCTTTTTGTAGGTTTCTGATGCCATTTGAAAATCAGGATGCTCAAATCCGCTTTGGCCCACTTCCATTGCCCACTTACAAAATTCATTGCTCAAAAACTAGATAGAATGATACATTTGCCTTGCATAATTCAATTGCCTTCGTGAACTGAAGCTATAAGAAGCGGTTGATCAATGTTGCTAAATCAAACTAATGACGAATGTTTAATTTTTCAACCATGAAAAACATCGGAAATAAATCTCCAGAAAAAAACGCTCAAGCTCACAACAACGCCATACGAAACAAAATATTTTGAACCAATCCCGAACATGAGTAAATTTCAATATAGCGTCTCAAATAATGACGTCACTGCCAAATAGTTTGGGACTAGACTTCATAGTTTCTGAGCTTGAATACCGACAACATTTTGGTCTGTAATTCATAAATAAGTAATTTGCTTCGATTTTTCACAAAACGATCGCCATCTAAGGGTACTAGATTAAAAAGCGGCATGCAAAAAACACTGTTATTGAAAAATTCTTTAATTTTTAGTGAAAAAGAGAAACTACTTAGCGTAAATGAAATTGTTGGTCGACAGCTCACATAAATTGTGAATTTATATATATTTTAAAGAGGAACTTAAAATGTCTACACTTACACCAATCAATACTATTACCGAATGTTAAATTTATCAACAATGAAATCTAGAGAGGGTTTGTAAAATTTCTATTAAACCATGCTATAACAATATATCTGATTCAACAAAAATAAATCTCTTCAAATCACCAGAAAAAAATACTCAACTCGACAAGCGCGGAGATGAGTAAATTTCAATATGGTGTCTCATATAATGACGTCACTGCCAAATACCTTGGGACAGACTGTATTTGTATTTAATAATAGACACTGTCTAGAATTTATCTGGTATGCAGATCAAAGCGACGTCTGTTGAATACTTATCAAATATGTATTTTTCTGTTTGTATTCCAAATGATATTTCCATATCATTTAACTCCCGAAAAGCATATTGTTTATATCGAGAATGGGGCGCCCGTGTGGAATATCTAAAAATAGCATTTACATGTGGAAATATCCACGCATTTCAACAAATAGGGCGACTACGGATTTTATTCTGCAAAGCTCTATTCTCGTAGTATTTGCCCGGTTTCATATTCACTTGCTAGTTGTGGATTAAGTACAAAAAGACGACCGGATGTCGCAAAGTTTATTAATATATAATGGAAATAAGTATTATCCTAACTAAACCCACTAATGAACGATCAAATTTCTGAAAGATTCCCGTTAATAAAATAAAAAAAAATTACTATTGCCTGATCATTGATCATTGTGGCCCACGAATTTTTTGTTTTGTCCATTTCATCCCTTGTTTTCAGAAAGGCGTTAAGCAATACCTTCGAGAAACTGATTACAGCAATGAAACATGTGATACGATAAATGGAATACGAGCACGTAACATCGTCATTACGCAGATTCTCATTTTCGCTTTGCTCCCTTTTAATTTGTGGGAATTAATAGGAATGCTCTAGCAAACATCGATTTTCACTTCGATAAATAATGAAGACGTTATTTTCAGTTTGCCTGTTGGACTATTTCTGGGGAAAGTATCGCAATTGCCTCATATGAAACTGTTTCGACTACTTACCCAGTCTAGTTAAGATAATGCCAATTAGGTGCCACTAAAACTGTCTATTTTCATGGAAATGGCTGATAGTATTGACACATTAATAGCAGAACTACACCTTGAACTGGCAATTACAACGCGAGTATCATAGTCGATATGATAGTCTAAACACTGCACGAGTTCATGAGGGCTTAGCGCATTAATGAAGGTTCGAGATGTAAGGGCAGAATTAATTTCAACGATTTTCCGTGTCGCATTGAAAGTATTAACATCAGGAAGTTCTTTGAAAGTTCCTACTCTTTATTAAGTTTCACTGAAACCGGAAGCCACATTTGCTTGGCGACAAAGCGTGAAAAGCTTCAGTCTTTTAAATTAATTCAATTGGTTTGAAGATTTCGAATAGAATTTCAACTGGCGCCAATGTGAAGAAGATGAAAAATGCCTTTCAGATAACGACCTGTTTTCATCTGTTTTGCTTAATTTCTGTGGCAAATGGAAATCACTGCGTCTTAATTAAGCTCGCATGTGCTTTCATTTTTATTCATTTCATATTCGACAATTTTAAGACAATTATAAGAAAGTTTGAGAGTTATAATACTTGTGAAACTTTGTCGAAAATAATTTGCTACGAGAACAAGCTTACTACTAGATTTAATGTGAAGCATTCATTTGCTCTTCTAATAAGCTTTACGGCTAGTCCGGAAAGAGCGCACGAATGGGGAAACACCTGCAAATGCCTCATATTTCAGTAATCATAAAATATGCTCGTTTCGGAAATTTATTCTCCACCAGGTCAAAGTTAATGAATAAACGACCTCATCTCTGTTGGAATCTATGTGGCCAAATACTTCACTGGGAGTTCAAATCAACATCTTCATTTTCCTTTAAAAGCGCTTTTCTTTATTATCATTACACCCCAAATTGTACTTAGAAAACATGAAGCTAAATTTGAATTGTTAACACCTTTTCCATTAGATAAAAGAATGATTTATTTGGGTTTCATTTTTTAAACTTTAAAGGTTGATGATTTTTGGTTACGCTGCAGACGTTCCTATATGATAGTGTACTTTTACATAAGAAAACTTGGAAAAAAGAAAAAGACTGTCTTAAAATGCCATTTTATTGGAAACGAAAATTCAGAGTTAGGTGAAATGAGATTTTTAATCTTGAGGAAAAGCGATTTAAAATGCATAATCCCCTCGGTTTCAAGCCAACTTCTGTGAGTTTTTCTTTAAACTTGATACCCATTTCTATACAGATTTAAAGAAAAAGCTCCAGACAATTGTAAACTCTATCAAAAATGGTGCCAAACTTGTCAAACTCTAATTGACTGATGCCAGGCATGATATTCCTAAGTAACGAGTCGATTCTTCAGGTAAACTACTTTATTTTTGTTTACAAATTTTGTAGTAGAAAATTGAAAAACGTATACTTTGATTATGGGAAACATTCAAAGAGGAAACAGAGACAAATCTATTACAATGGTGAATGGAAGAAGGTTAATTTGCTTCAAAACTAGGATTCAGAAAACAAAATATATATTGATATATACACAATGAATGTGTTTCTCATCATGGTTTTCACTATGTCCACCAAAAAACTGTCTTTTTGGCAATGGATTTGGTCCAACTGTTTCAGTAAAACAAATCAATTGAGGAACTTTTTATTGAAACGATTTCGAGCAGAATTTCGAAAACAATATCAAGATGTTTTTCTTTGACCTAATCAATATAAAGACCCTTGAAAGTTCACAACTTACGTGAACGTATTTTTGAATGGCTCTCAATGGTCGTTTTTTTTTAAATTTTATGTGTTCCATTTCAAAAGAAACAAATTACCTGACATGGACTGAACATGGCTTGATCTGTGTATGACACGAGCTGAATCAATAGAACAAGTGAATCGAAGAAACTTGAACAAGAACTAGCAAAAGAGCAAATTTTCGGTTCAACAGTATACTTTTTTAACGCTGCAAGTTGCGCAGTGTTCTTAAGCTAAATTTCAAACTTTGTCGCCATGTGAAATAGAATAAGAAGAATAGAATTGTGTATTTCCTTTATTATGACAATATTTTTGCAAATAAAGGCCCTCATGAGCGCAATACAAAATAAACAAAAACAAGCAGTAGTTTTCCACAAAAATTTAATTTCAGAAAATTGTTAAATGGTCTTTAAGCACTTCTGATAAGTTTTAAGACGACTATATCATTTGATTGAGTTTTGCTGTAGTTATAATGCGTATTTAAGCTTGAACTCGCAGAAAAAAATATCAGTATGTTTTCACCTTTAACCACTACAAAGTACCTAAAAGATACTAGGCTGTGATGGCACAGCTTTCCTCAAAATCGAGGCAAATACAGGGACAGCCTGTAAAAATGTAGATAATCATCTTTAATGGGCATAGAAAATGTAAGCAGGTACTAATTGCGCGCCCCTTAACCCCCACCCCCCCATACGAGACTTCATTCAGAGAGGAGCATTATAAACAAGATATTTTTTACGATTTTTTAGATTTACCTTCGATTCAAGCTATGTATTTCTAAACCGTCCACTTTTGGATTAGAAAAGTTAAATTAAGTCATGGTTTCACCCCAGGAATCTGTGGCGAAATTGTATACAGGCATTTTACAGGCACCCTGCATATTATTTCAGGGTTTTCAGCGTCTAGACGCATTCTTTGCTCCCAAAACATTTAACATTAAGTAAAATTCCTGATAGGCGGAAAGTTTCACAAGGTATTTTTTACTTATTAAGTTCTTGTCTGGCAGAGAATTTCCTGGAATTATCTAATAAAAAGCGAATATTCCAACTTACCATTTTTCAGTTTGCAGTTGGACACCAAATCGTTCATCAGTTCCCGATTTTTCTGAAAGCAACAATAGAAAACCGAGTTCAGTACACTTTTCATCACCAAAATTTGAACAATTATATGGCTACATGTGGGTGCTTATTGAGTTGATCACTAAACTCAGTTCGAAAAGTTTTATTTTTATTGATTCAACCGGAAAAACTATACACTTGTTCCAATAAAATTACAACGTAATTAAACATCGACATTTAATTGCAGATCCATTTAGCTCTCAGTAATAAAGTTTACGTAGGTATAATTAAACCGAGTCCGACTACGACCTTTCTGTTTAATTTTAGTGGTCCTTTACGATTTGTTGACGACACAAATTTATCTAGGAGAAATTAAAGGTATGTAATTATCAAAATAACTGGCATTTTTGAGGAAGGTTTGGACTCATTTACATTCTTCAGCTCAGTGTAGAGATTTTTTGCGAAAAGGCATTTTACATTATCTATAAAGTGCCGCGGTTTATTCTAATTAACGCAGATTTGCTTAGGAAATTCATAAAACTCAACGTGTATGCATAGAATAAATATATACTACCAAATAGTGCCTCTGGCAATATTTTAGACGCTTAGCTTAATGTTTTGGCAGCAAAACTCCCTCGAGTAATATCCTAAAGTCAAGCAGGTGAGAAACTAGAGCTAAACTGCTTAACATTCCAACTGAGCAACTTCTATTGAGGTGGTTAGACAGAAAAATGCATCGTGTTGTTCAGATTTCAAAGAAATGTCGGTTAGTAGGGTATTTTCAGCAAAAAATACAGATGCAAAAATACAAATTTGGCTTTCGAAAATTGCATTTTTTATGCTCTCTTTGCAGGTTAAAATCATGCAGAGAAAGAATAAAGAGACATATTTGAAATAATCAAATTAACATTTTTAATGACGCTGGTTTTGCGCTATCACGAGAAAATGAACTTGTAATTAATATTAACGCTTAAGAAGTTTAAAGTGATTACATCAAAATTAGGGCTCTCATGTGCTTAAAGCAGTGCCTGAATTTCGGTTTAGTTGGGTTGTCTAACCATGTTAATCACACTTGCGGGCCGTTCTGGCCGGTCTAGTATAAAGTTACTCGTTTCAAGTGAAAGTTGACGATATATTTATTTCCTAGAGGCAGTACAGGCTCACGAATTACTACAAAACTAAACAACGGTTGAATAAAATAAGAATTTGTTTTTATATTAAGGCTCAGCTTTAAGATCCCGTAATCACTTCTGAAGTTGCAAGACCCTGTTGGTTTCAAAACGTCAGGAAATTTTTTTAGATTTTATCAGTTTCGATAGAATTAAAATAATACCCTAATCTGATTTCAGTTCCTTCTAAACGCCAATTCAGTTTGTTTTTTTGTTTTCCCATACGAATTCGGCGTAAAGTAACCTGACTGGAAAACAAACTCTCGGGAGTTAAAAAAACTGGTATCGCACTAGAAGCTTTTTATAATGTGAACAACAAAATATCAGATATTTTGTGGAATTTATTGGAAAATTTTATGTAGAACCCCAGTGTGTTTGGCTTGCACTTACAAATCGCGCACTTTCTGGATTAAGTCGATTTAGATAAAAAAAAAACGTTAATCTAAGGCGGAAGCTCAGGAAAAAATAACGAGGCCCAAACAATGCTTTACGTGCTTTATCTTCAGCTTGAAGCAAGCAGCGCGAAAGGCCTGGAAAATCAATTAAATAAGGATAAATCGAATTAAATAGAGCTTAAAGGGGGAATTTACAAATAAACAGCAATTTGATATTCTGTAACAAAATATAATAAATTCCACTGCAACTATTCCAAGTAGAGCTAAAGCAACTACATAAATGTATTTAATGCACCAGGAATTTTGCCTGCATATTCAGAATCTATGCTAAAAATTTGCGAACTGTTAATTGAAAATTCTTTGAAAATTCCGACAAAATGAAATTTTTTCGAATATTGCAAATGAGAACCAATGCACTCGTTTTGCAACTCGACTGCAATTAAAATTCCCGTTTATTCTCGTAAATACTGGAAACATTTGTAAAAACATTAATTTGGCTCGCATAAACGAAATTTGTGGTACAATGGCTTTCTTGAGAATTTTTCAAATATTCTTTTTTAACAAATTCAGTTTTAATAAACTGTATGGTAAATGTTTCAAGGGTCTTAGTCTTATTTGTCATTTTACGTGATTCTAGAGAATCAACTGCTTTCGGACTGTTTAAACACCCTGGACATGCTCCTAAAATTTTCGTCTGTTTACAGACGAAACTCCGCCAATTAAAACAACTCAAAATCGCGAAAAACCTTGGAATCTTGTCGAAAGTTTTCGTAGCAATTTGCCGTTTTGTTTCCAAATGCAGTTTCAATGTGCCAAGAATCCCCAACGAATATAAACTCGACGCCTTTATTCCAGGTCCAGTTTCATTACCCCCGACTTCTAGGTAGAAACTTTCCAGACTTAAATTTATTAATTCCAGCCGGGATTATACGTTAAGTAAAGTTCGGTTAAAGCGTGTACTTTAGTTTTACTACGCGCTCGGCTTTTCACATTGTCCAGCTGGGTGTAATGATACAAACTTTGTGTTCTTTTGCAACCAATACATATCTTTGAACAACTTTGTTATATTGTTGAAACTTTGATGAGTCATGTAGGGCAATTATAGCACAATAAAACCTACATTTATGGGATAATAAACAACTTAGACCGAAGCTGATAATGCTCAATTAAAAACATTTCGGTTAGTTACACCAGCAAAGAGCTTTTTACTCGAAACTCGATTCGATTGCTCGTGGTTTAAGTTATGTTAGTAGCATTCATTAGGAACCATTGCATGAGTGCGGAACATTGCCACACAAAAGCCTTTTGGCAGCAACGACGGCAGAAATTAAAAAAATTATGCTGTATTTGCATATCCGACCCATAGCGGCAAATTGGCGTATGCATATTAAGGGCGTATTATGGACGGTAATTTTCCCCATTAAGTAAACGCCGAAAACGACTAAAATTGATCGTGAAGAGAATAGCATTTTTCAGCGGCTAAGTAATAGAAGGGCTTTTAGAAGCCAGAGCAGCCAACAAATAAATATTCAACTTAACCGCAATTAAGTCGCTTAGCAAGTGTATCAAAAAGCAATACTGGCAACCTCACAGCAAAATATCAATTACTAAACCGAGGTAATCTGCCTCAATTTGCATCAATTCTCTAGGGACATATTTTAACGAGGCAATTAAACCTCTCTATTTCATTTCCGTTCTGCTCTTGCTAGCTTAAAATGCTTAATTTATGCGTCCCTGAAAAATGAAATATACTTTTGGGGACAGTTTTGCATCGTTTCAGTCGTTATGTTTTATGGCCACCATAATTTTATCCCGCCATTTCCTGGCTCGAAGTGCATGTTCAGTTGGGTCAATAAAGTTTTTCAGTGACCAGCAGTTAACGCACGATAAAAAATGCATAAAGGAGTTACATAGTTTGAGGAAGTAGACTAGAATCATCAGAATCTGCGTCTGGAAAATGGACTGCGGATGGTTTGGAAAATAATAAGGGATCTAATTACAAAACCGTAGGTGTTTGCAAAGTCGGGGAAAATCGAGCTCAATTTTCAAAATAGATTTCAACATGTAGTTGAGGAATTCGAAAGGAAACGTGATATGAGGGTCTATATAATTTTGTCGCCCGATAATCTCGCCCTAAACTCTTTGGGCATTCGCAATGTTCAAAGAAATCGAACCCCATTAAGAGCATACCTACTTTATTAATAGGTACTCTGTTTTAGAAGAAATGCTCGAACGTCCAGAATGCCAGGCGTCCTACCACCTACTCCTTTAGGTTGGTTGGCATGTGACGAAGTTGGAAAGCATAATTGAAAAATTTCTCTAGAAGGCAATTTAAAAAAAATGTAGTCTCCTTGAGAAAAAAATGCTTGCTGTTTGTGCCCCTAATTGAATTTCTCTTAAGCGAATGATCGTTTTGGCTTTCTCAAATGCTCATCTTGATTTATAATGGATGTTTCATTGATTTTCTTAGAGAGTTTTTAATATTTCCAATATCTACCTAAACGTGTAAATTTTTGGTACTGAGTGATAATTTTGGCAAAAATTCAAATAGATTAAAAAGTAATAGTGTAAAGTATCGGTTTACACATGGAACCCATTGTATACAAATCATTTGTAGTCTTATTATGGAGTTTTGTACTACATTTAATTTTCATTCAAAAAAATCAAGAACTTGTCTTGTGCTGGCTGAATGTTCATTAAGTGAAAGAACAATTATTATATATAAAGTCAATGATTACGAATTTGAAGCATTTTTCCTGCCAATGCAAAGAAAATAAAGTTGGATGCAGTGGAATGTAGGAAGTGAGTAAACATGAAATAAAAAGAGAGAATTTGAATAAAAAAAGAATGAGTTTTAATAGCTGTATTGTTTTGAAATTTCACAAGAATTTAGAACTTGATTGATGCTCAAAGTTTCGCTTTCCTTTCAGGGGTTTCCCTTCAAAAGGTCAGGGCGTTCGTGGATACAATGTGAGCTCAGCACTTCGATCTTGCATGCCAGATGATTGTTTCTTACAGAAAATTTAGATTTTATTAAGCTTTGCAGAAATATTAGCAGATGTAGATTCGAATAATGTTGCAAACAGAACAATCAGAGAAATTAATTTCAATGAAGAGGAATTAATATTTTATAACTAACCAGCGGATAAAAAATCTGAAGTGAAAAACTAATAGAAAATACGTTACTACTGACAACAAAAAGGAACAATAGATAATTCGATTAAAGGGAGAATCCCGAAAAAAGTTGAAAGTTGTAAAAAAAGCAAATTTCGGAGGTTCAAGAGATGGCATTATATTCACAAAAAAGAATAGAATCGAAAGATGAATGACAATATAAAACGCGGATCTCAGAAGGAAAAAATTAAAACAAACTGAAGAAGACAAAGAGCTGACTAGCATCAGTAGGAAAACGTGTTCGAGCCAGTATAATTAGAAAATGTTGGTTGTTTTGCTGCTGGTAAGTTTTTCAAAGATTTTCTTTGGGGAGCTGCATGCTTACAAAATGTTAGAGGAAGTAATGGAAATTCAAGAATTTCTGGAAAAATATAAAACCTTCAAAGTTCAAATAGGGTAAAAAAAGTGAGTTGCAGGGACGGAAGACAGAAGAGGACAATATCAAAAAATGAGAAAAACAAAATAATTCTCCCAACAGAAGGCAAACAATGTGATGGAAAAAATTAATTGTAACATTTGCTGACGTTCATAGGAAAGAATGATAAATTACCAGAGAAAAAGTTGTCCAAATAATAAGAGCACTAAAATATGGAAAATTTAACGATATTCACACAAAATTCACAGAAATGCTGAAATTAACTGCAGGAAAGGAAAGCAATAATTTAAGTCTGAAGACAAAATACAATACATAAGATGTACAACACAGGCAAATTATGGCAATTGGGCTTTTATAGCGTTTTTCATTTTACAGTCTTGACACAAAAATATTAATAGGTGTAGATTCGAATAACTTTTGGGTACAGAACAACCGTTTAAACGCAGATAAATGAATATTTGTAAATAACTAGCGGATGCAACGTGCAGACGAACAGGAACTGAAATTAACTTTATTCTACTAAACCTGAATTTTCAGAAAATTGCCGAAATTGAAAGGTGGGGAGAGGAACAGCTGCATGAAACAAAAAAGCAAATAAATATACGTTAAAATTGAGAAAGGAAAAAAACAATACTGAATTGGACTCAGCGAGGAATCGGATTGACAAAAATGAGCAGAAATAAATGCTGAATGGCACAGGTAATCATTGATCTTACGAAGAAAAAAGCAAAACGCAGAATAGTTCTCCCAAAGATTATCTGGAAAAGTTGGTGATTGGTGAAATGGGATCAAATGCGGAATTATTAGGAAATTTTGTTAGGAGAGTTAAATGTTTCCAAAATTCGAACAAATAAAAGAAGTTCAGTGACGTTGCCAAACTCCTAATGTCCCAGTAAAATAAAATAAGTGAGAGGCAGGCACGGTAGATGGCAGAAGACAATACTAACAAATTAGAAAAGCAAAATAATTTTCAAAACAGAAGGCAATTTCATAGATAAAGACACACAATCAAATATTTTCCGAGGTTTATATACTTGACATCCTGCTACCCACAGATACTGGAATAAACGAAAAAGAATAAAAAATAATGAAAGAAGAAGTTGCCCGGGTAATCAAAGGACTGGAATATGGAAAGAAATGCTTAAATTATTTTCGAGAACGGAAAGTAATAGCTTTAATGTGGCCGAAGAAGCATAACTCTTCCCAATGCGACGATAAAAACATTTTAACTCTAATGTATTTTGGGTTTATAGTTTTTCTCAGAACAATCTGTACACGAATCTACAAAAAATGCAACTAAGAGATGAAATTGTTAGTTAAGTGATAAAATTATGAAATCAACTACAAACCTTCTTGGGTGTCTTGGGCTCTATTTGATTTCAAATACATTCTGTTTGTCTAAATCATTTTCATCTTACAGTAAATATTTTTGGAGATATTTTGCTTAAACTGTTTATCTATAAACTTTCTTTAGTTTTGCTTCGGTGTAAAGCCGACATAATCAACAGTATTCTGTTAATAGCTACCAGCCTGATTCAGTCTTTAATTGATAATGTTTCCAACGATGCCTAAACTATGCAACTTTGTGACCTCACTTCAAAATTGAGCTGACACCAAAGGCTTCTTCATTTTAACTGTCCATAATTTTTCATTTTACCGTGAACACTCACCTCCCAAATAAGCTTAAAATCCTGCTGTTCCACCCTGAGCAATTCGCAATTGGTTTGAGTAACGACCGTCGTGTCTCTTGGCAGATCCTGAAGTATGGATTCGCCAAAAGTCGCTCCAACTCCCAGGGTGCATAGCGTTACAGTGGTCTAAAACAAAGCAAAATTGATCGTGTTTATTTACCTATAGAGTTAGCCGTTAAGTTAAAAGTTATACTGTGCTGGGAAGTTGAAGAAAATTCTTTAATGAAATAGTGCCAGTAATAATGCACTTTGCGGACCTTTACAAAGCCTCTTGCGGGCGCATTTACATATTTTAAAGCCGCCGTTTTAAATTGCCATGTATAGACAGAATTTCCACAATTTAATTAAAAGTTCGCAGGTTCACACCATGCAATTAACATGTAAATTGGACCTACATTGTGACGGAAGTGGCTTCATAAAGCAATGTCTAATCTCCATGAGAACTGTTAGCAGTCTTTAGAAGGTAAAGCATTGAAAGCTGGATACGATTAGATTGATTATATCTAATGTGGAGTTAAGAGCTCAGAGCTGACGCTCTTGATTGCACTTAAATAGACAGAAACGTTAAATATTTTTTTTTGCACCGTCATTAATTATAGTAGAAATAAGCCTGACTCATTGGCATTGTAGGGAAACATCAAATGTATTATTTTCTACGAGCAGAAGCTATTATGCAGATAACAAAAATTACTAGACGGGCTAATTGGCTATTTAAAACCGAAGGGATCCTTTTCGCGAAGCAGATAGTCTTTGAAGTGGCACAACGTGACACCGAATACTAAAAATGTGGTGCAAAATTAGTCAAACATCGGTTTGCGCCTTAATAGTCGTTATTTTAGCTATACAGGTAGGTAGAAAATGGCTATTGTATAGGGTTACTATGCACTTTGGGTTAAGGAAAATGGAAATATTGCACGGTTTACGAAATCGTCAACTAGTGAAAACATTCAAATATGCGTTTTTGTTAACTTCTTTCAAATTGTCTGGTAATTCAACGTTCCACGACATATTAAGTGTGAACATAAAATTTGTTAACTTGAAATTTATATAAAGAACTGAAATTGCAGAATTTTTGTTTTTGTTTTAATTGCCTTTGTAAATAAATCTGTGTAAAAACGCAAATCAGTGTGGAAAACTACAATTGTATCACTTCATATGCCCATGATAGAAAGGCGAATGGAAGATTTTCAGAGTAGATTTTTTCGTAGACTTTCGGAAAGAAGAATTTCTGAAGAGATAAGCAAGCTATCCGTGGGCAGGCCCAGCATTGGAAAATATTAAAAATAATCAGTGCAAAGTAATAAAACTGAAATTTAAAATAATGTTTTTTCTAACATACGATTTTTCAGCTATGTACAAAAATCCATAATTTACTCAAAAATATTTGAAACCCACGTTATAAACTTGGATAATGGGTTTTGATAAAATTAGGCTAAAAGTTTCAGGTTTTTCGTTAAGAATACATACAAAAATATTTGTTTTCCAACTGTTGGCCCAGCAGGTCAAAATAAATGCGTTCTTTGTTGGTATTTCAATATTTTCCCATAAAAAAAAATTGACGAAAAAAAGTGGGGTCACAAAAAGTTACAATTATAAAATTTGCTACATAAAAAGTATAAGAATGACAACAAAATTTGAACCTATAATTAAGCAATTAACCATCATATGCTCACTTTGAATGCTTTAAGAAGTTTTGGATTCTCTTTAAATAAGGTACCAAAAACATATGGAAACAGAGCTAAAAGTAAACTTTTAAAGTTACTAATTGCCATTTCTCTCCAGATATTTTGGCCACCCCTCCTCCTTTATGGTGTTTTGAATTTGAGAATCTTTTTTAAACATATAAACGTTTAAGAAGCACTTAAAGCCATGGTATGAATATAAATTAAATTGATTTATAAAAATAATTTGTACCGCTTTTATTATGTGCCATTTTAGTTTCCATAATAAATTTTGCATCAACATTCCTATTTGCTCGACTCAGAGCCTGACCTTAAAAGCATACGTCTCATTAAATTCTAAGCATTTCCGGATTACTCTTAATAAAAAATTCCACAGCATTGCTTCCATCTACTGCATTAATCCGGATGATATTCCAAAGAGAATCAAATGGAAATTAAAATTAATGAAACTTTCGGGTCCGAATACTTCAACGTAAATACAAATCAGCATTATTTAATAGATAAATAGAACATTACCCAAGTTCAAACTACCGCGATACCCAACATGGTTTTAAATGCGAATCTAATTTAAAGCGAATGTGTTTGATGTTTTCATAACATTCAGAAATCGTGTTTTCCCAGGTTAGAAGTGGGCACCTAGCGAATTTGGAGCAATGCAGGCAAAAGTTTCTAGAGCAAACGAAGAACTTCGATTTCAGTCAAATTCCCAAGTGCTACAATGCCAGTAAATTGGCAGAAGCCAAACGTTACGCGGACGTTTTTGGAGGACTAGTTCAGTCTGTACCAGATGAATGTAAACGACCGAATACATCGAACTTTAAGCTTTGCCTAAGTAGTACTTTGGCGTATCTGAGAAACCACATTCAAGAGGTAAGTTGAGCTCTACATTTGAAGCAAGTGCAAATGTTTCATTGCCAACAATTTTCAGTTTCAAGTGAGCATCGCCGGCAGCGTTAATGCTTTATTTGATGGGGCCAAAATCTGCGTGGACATCGCCACTCAACAGTTTTCAGATCTTGATCAGTATATTGCAAAGGGATGTCCTGATAACTGATTCAATTAAGCTGTTAATTCATTATACGCCCCTTAAACTCGTCGAGAGTTTTAAAATATATTTCGTTTCAAGCAGCAAGACAACACTGAAGAAAAATTCCCCCTTTCTTCGTTTTTTTCTCACCGGCGGACAACTGAAAAATTGACTTTAGCTCTTGGAATCGACATCCATATTTAAATAAATCCGGCTGCATTATTCATGTGTATTTGTAATCGAATCTGGTATGAGATAGAACGCCTATCGATCTGGAACAGATTCCTGTATTCGCTCTAACGGTACAATGCGCTGTTTAAAGTTAGCAGTAAGCCCGATGAAGAAGCAGCTTTTCCAAGTTTCTAACTTAAACTTCTTTAGTGACGAAATTAATATTCCTGTGCAAAAATCCCCTACAAATATTAATGACGGATTTTATCAATCTCATTTCTTTTGCAGTCGCTTTCTGGAAACTAAAAGTTGTTCGAAACGTAATAACTACGCAAAAGAGTTGGGAACGTTTATAGATGCTTGAAATTTTTAATTTAGATTTTTCAGTCAATGTCTAAACGATACTGCATTTGACGACACTGGATGACCGTTATCATTTCAATCCGACTACGTAGCTTCTTCATGGTCAATATAGTAAAGTTTTCGGCAATTTCCATTTCTTATCCTTTATTGGAACGTTACTGTAACGTAATGACCGAAGAGAAAAGCGCTTGAAGGGCAGCCAAACGTTTCGCACCATTTACCATATTCTATTCCGATTCAGTCCACGTACATGGAAAGCTACTCAGAGTTTCTTTAAGAAATAATATTCTACGCGCATTTTGGCAATTCTATCCATCGCCTGATGATATAAGTATGCAAGAGCAAACAGTGTTTAATGGTATTTCAGGCCAGAATTGATTACTAGCCAAGAGTTTTCCTGAAACTTTAGAGCTTAAGACTGCAGGATAGATCAATAGCTTTTCAAAGTAATCAAATGCTTTTTGAGTAGCGATAATTTGCTCATTTTCACAACAGTAAATGTTGGTCAACAGTTCGTTGCAAGCTTTCTAAATTGCCCTATTTGACAAAAACCGAATGATGCTCATTTAGGTGATTGGGCAGGAGTAGCTTGACTTTTAGAGCCAGCCAGTTTTGTGAGGCTCTTGTTACGAGAACCACTTACTTATAAAAGCCGTTTGAAACTGGCGAAGCTGAAAGCTCTTCCAACGCCAGAGTTTTCTATTTAGAGGCGTTTTCGAAAAAAACTCGTGTGCCACTTCCTGGAAGCTTTCGTGTTAGTAAACCATATGTCTCTGGATGCATTTCGGAATTTTTAGCTAGAAAGTGCAAGAGCTATAAACATGAGGTAAGCTGCAATGGGATTTTTGTGAGATTTATATTTGTCAGACCTTGTGATTTCATAATGTAAGCAGAAACATATACTGCAAAGAACAACACTCGGAAAATACATTTCAGTTTCATGTGGGTATAATTTTTTTTCAGTACAATCTACTGCCATTTGGAAACAAAATTAATTTACACTTTGTCGGTATATTCAGTGATTGGTCTAAATTTATCCGAAATGTCGAAGTCGCAATGTCGCAGTACTTTTCGTTATTCTGTCTTTGGTGTTGTTGGAAAATTAGGGACAGCAGATCGTTTTTTAAACTCATACGTGAAAAAGCTCTTCCGGGTATATTTTCAATATTTCACAAGGTTTGATTTTAAGCTTGATGTTTTCTTATAACTACTTGCGACCTAAATTGCTGCTTTCTTTTAGCTGAATGTTTTCTATTTTTTCAGGTTTTGGCTGGGAAGTAATTTTCGTGATGTTTTTTTCATCTGATTTTGAGACTGTTGAACCTTCAAAAACATCTCTTAAGCAACATGTTTTCTGTTTCTCAGAAGCTCTTGATCGAGATTCAATTTATTGTTTGTTGGCGTTCCCTATTTTTCCGAAATATATTAAAATTGTGACCGAAAGAATGTTTGTAAATCTATGCACGCTTTAAACAAAGTTTAAAAAAACTGTAATAAACAATTCCTGCAATAAGAGTTCAAAAAAGTTAACACCATTTGGATGTCTGTAAACCCAAAACGTTTGTTTCTACGCAGAATCCACGTCCGAAATTTAATTTACTATTGAATTGTTATTCAATTGAATTAAAAACCTCTGTATTTTCCATTGTAAGAGACGGTATTAAAAGTGCTTAAATGAGATTTAAAAAAAGCAATTCAATAATTAAAAAGTTATTGATTACTTGTTGAAGTCGCCTGCAGCAGCATTTGTGAGTGCACATTTTTTATTTTTAAATATTGATTAAAATTTGGTTAACCATTAGACCACTACTGAGCAAGTTACATTTGTCTGAAAGTCGCTTGTTGCAAATGTTCATAAATTAATTGAAACTTCAATTTTTTATAAAATTTTGGGGTTTTCAACCTGAAAGAATTAAGGTCTGTGGAAACGTTTTGGACAAATGTCCAGTGTTAATATTCAGATATTTTGCTCAAAAAAAGTCTCGATTTCAAGAAGTTTTAGATTTGAGTGTTTTTTTTTGAATTGCAAAATCGACTCAAGCATGGCATGCTTTTTTTGAAGTTTCTCAATCCCCATTTGAGCCACATAATTCGTTTGGCATCGTTGGATAGAGAATTGAAAATTCGAGTCAAACATAACAACACGAGGGAGAAAATTCGAGTAGTTTTGACCCAGAAAGCGAAATCTTAATATCAAACATTGATAAGAAAGAAAAATATTGCAAAAACTAACATCGAAACTAAAAACCTCCAAACAACAGGCATCCTAAATGAAACTCCCCAACCTGTACGTTTGAAGGATATGTGCAAAAAACAAAAATTGGGCCTATAAAAAGCAATATCTATAAAAAGGGTCTTTCCGGATTATAGCAGATTCAATTTGGTTCACAGAGTCCCTTTTGAAATCAACTTTCGGAGTTCTTTGGTCTATTTTCTGCCTAAAGGGCGCTCAGTTATTTACATGGCTGGATGCACTTCTAATCTTCTCTATAGCCTGATATAGGGCACAGTTATTTTTGGGTCAAGAAAATTCATGTAAACATTATGTTCCACACATACGCTGGTTAATCCATCAGGAAAGTCCCAGTTTCAGAATGGTCTACTAAGAAAATACATATTGCGAAAGTATGCTTCTAGATTAAAGTTTAGGCAAATAATTCAAGTGGTTGTTTTACAGCGAATGATAATTATTAGTCATTGATGAAATTGAAGCATTAAGAGAACCAATCGAGCTATTTGTTTAGCCTGTTGAGCTGTTCTCTCTTCATTTCGCAAGTAATTATCGTTTGATATGTGATTGCAATTTGCTCAAATATGGAACCTGGAAATATGATAAACCGCAGCTAATTGCACTGGAATTTGCATATCAGTAGCCTTGTATTTTAGGCAAATATATTCCAAGTTCAGGATAATGCAAATTTTGGTTATCTGCGGCAGACAGTTCAATAATATTCGTATAATATTAACGTATTGACTTGCCTTGAAATAAAGCTTTTGAGTCGATATTTAATTCGTTGTCTTACTTACTTCTTCACATTGTTTCACTTTATATTTTCTGGCTTTACACCATCTGTTTCCACACTTCATTGAATCCAATCAACAGTCTATCAGTCTTCTACATTTGACAACAAACGCGAACTTTAGCTGAATGTTGCAACGAGCAAAAGCAACTCACAAAAGCCACGAACATTTTGCAGATTTACCGATACTCCCGCTAATTTATCAATGAATGAATGTCTTATCTGGGGATTTATTGTTATTTTTATATCTGAGTGCATATCAGTGATGGGAGATATTCAATGGAAAGAGATATAATGCGAGTTTGATAACTCGAGATAAAAGGCTTGATCAATTTGCACTGAATTATTAACAGGGCTATTGGCAGATTAAGCTACCTTTTTTCAAATATCGGCTCTGTGGATAGGGAACATTTTGCTTTTATTTTTAGCGATGTCCCCTTCTCAAATATTCAAGTTCAAATTCAGTATTTTGATTTTCATTCTGTTTATTTTTTCTTGTTGTTCCTGAGCTACTTCTATTACTAGTTTGGACTTTGAGTTATCCTAAACCTTTGAATTTATACCGTGTTTGGTTTGCATTTATTTGCACATTTTCTTAAGAAACAAATTAGTCGTTCAGTTCTATTTATTTTTGCTTTTGTCGATTTTATCACTACCGATTTAACGCCACGACATTTGCACTTACATACTGCGGTTCAGAACTTCGTCTTATTCCCGCATATATAACTTTTTTTCAAAACAACATCTTTGTCGATTTAATAAAATTCCCCATTTCGTTCCGCTGAACTTGAACTAGTTACATTCATAAAGGGGCCACTAAAGAAATAATTTATTTCCCTGCAACCTTTAACGCTAATTTTCTAAATGAAGGCATTTGAACTTTGAACAGCACGTAATTAGCGTCCTTCGCCTAGTTCCTATCCATTTATTTGAACTTTGTATTGTGTGCACTCCAAGAAAACTTTTAGCTAATGCTTAGTGTAGTAAATGGTGTAAAACATCCATAATTTTACACAAGAAGTTTACATTTAAAAACTTGAAAATCCACTTCAGACCATGCGTTGAGTGCTGATATCAATTCCTTTTTGCAAGCAGTTTTATAGACAATTTTCTTGGTTTTCTTATTTGGGTTTTTATTAGAAATACTTTAAATCCCTGGTTTCTAGCTAGTTGACTAAATGACAAACCACAACAATTTCGTGTATATAACTTCTAAAATTAGATAAAACAAACTTTACTCCGAAAGCATTAATTTGCATGCGCGCTGCTGTTGTAGCTCTATTTACAACCGAAGCAACTAAAATAAACTTCCTCTGCAGATTACTATCATTATTTTGAAACATTACATACCCAAACACGAAGCCTTTTTACTGCGCTTTTGCTTTATTTTATTGCAAAATCTGGCTAGAACTTTTACTAAAATGTATGCTAATACTGTTAGCGGAAACTATTAGCAAGTTTAAGGTAAAGGAACTTCAAAAGGAGCAACAGCATACTGTATAAATTACTTAAAGTAAAACTTTTGACTATAAAGAAACGGAGAAACTAGCTTTATGTGCCAGGTTTCAAGTAGTATTTATGAAGCTTTCACGTGCTTATCGTTGTAAACACTAATAAATTCAATTTGCATTTCCCGAGCGAAGAAAGCCTGTTCACAAATGATATCTGAAAAATTCACTGTTATTATATGGCATTAATTCTACAGGTGCCAATTCTCCTTTTCCGTGCTTCTTATCATATTCAGATCTCTTCCGCTTGAAGCTACTTTGCCCGAAAAATTCAAAATTTAATTTCATTGTAGCTTGGCGACAAAGCTCTCGTTTACGCACGAAAGCAAAACAGTGAATTCAACAGAATAATATTCAACTAAAACAAAACGCTGAAAAGATTTCCCTTGCGCCGAGTTAGAAATATTTGTACTTCGAATAAGGAAAACCAACTGCTTGAAGCTTGAAGGAAACCAAACTTTTATTTACAGCCGGATTTTAACCATTTATGGATCAAAATAATGCTTCGTAACGCCTCTCCATTGCAGGTTTAGTCGTTAATTTATTTTCGGTGATTGTGGGAGGAAGAACGTTTTTATTTATACGTGATGGTTTTATTAATCATCTCATCAAATCGCAATTACGGTGCGGTAAAATTGGGAGTGATTGAAAAGCTTACTTGTGTCTGTGTGTAAAATCCCTACGTAGGAAGTAAGACGAAAAAATCTCTTTCTGTGACTTGTTATTTTGTCTTTGGAACCCTATTTCACTGCTCCTTGACACAAATAATTAAATATCTACTGCGTTGATCAATTTATCAGAGACCTTTGTCCATTCGGCTTTATTTCTCATAGATCCGGAACTAGGCTAATCCTTCTGGAGGACACTTCAGATCCATCCACTAAGCTCTTGAAACTCGATTTACAGAAAAGTCCACATGGAGAAAATTGATATTTCGGAACTGTTCAGGTATTTCCCAAATAGTGTTTTAATTATAACATCATTAATTGCCGGCAATTAAGACAACAATTTAACGAATAACACTAAGGACATAATTAGGCTCTGCAGCCTTTTATTAAGACACACAAGGAAAACTTGAAGACAAGCTATTAAAATTAATTAGCTAAAATTGATTTATGAGTTTAGCAGTCTGAGATTTAATGAAAATGAATGACACGGTAATTGCCCTGTTCCAGTGACAAAAGCTGCCGAATTTAATATGAGTTTTAATATAAGACTTTTTTTTAATTTAATATAATAATATTTTCATAAAACTGCCCGCATTTTTAGTGATTGATATTTAGACTTTGCCAATGTATATCTTTTTACATCAAAAAAATGATTTAACGTTCCAGTTTCTGAAAATTTGTAATTTTAGCCAATGTGGATTACTATCGAATAAAACGAGCTGAATTGAATCAATATGTAATTAATGGCACAGAAAATGAGCTAAAAATTTCCAAATTGGCTCTAAACTCTTAAACTCTATAGCAGCTCCAGACGATTTTGAGGATCAATAATCAGCTCTAATAAACAGGCAAATCGACCTAAAAGATGACTGCAACTAGCATTTTTTAAACCTCCATTAGAGACCGAAATTGGATTCGCCGTGCCTTGAATCACATTCATCTTGAACAGATCTTTTTGAATGAAATGAGAAACTCAATGCAGTTTGAGTGAAAATCACGCCAGAGCAACTTTCGGAAATTGCCAGCAAAAAGTCAGCAGATAAACTACGTTGCGAAAGGAAAATTAAGGGAACTTTCGAATGAAACGCAACCAAGACGGTTAGGGAGATATTGATAGATTTATTCATTAAAATTAAATTAGCAGCCAATGTTTTTCCAGATATTGAAGGCCTTAATAAAGCAAAAATCACAGGTAGTCACTGTGATAAATGCAATTAATTCTCCAACAGCATGTGGGGCAAACGATGTTTTCCGAAAGCTTATTTGCGCTTAAATTCGGGTAAAGCTTTAATTGGGTGTATTGATAATTGCACTCACACCTGCAAATTTATCGCACTTTCTGCGCCTCCTCCTTCATCATTGAAAACATTTCCAAACAGTGTTACATGATGGGTGTTTTTTTTATTTAGCCTTTAGGTTTTGATGTGTTTCCACAAGAGTGAAGAAACAATTTGTCCCCCAGGATCAAATGCCGAAAGTTGTAAATACGCGTTAAATTGATTGCCTTGGGTCACTTCTGATTTGTTTGCCTGTTCTTGTTGAGACCTTTCTTTACGCTTGAATTTTTCCAAATAAACTTTTTGCCCTTCGCCCACTCTACCTTCAATTGTTCGGTTAACGATGCCAACATTAAATTGAGCAGTTTAACAGTAAAGTTCTATGAAATTTAAACCATTAGAACGAATATGGGTGTTTTTACTATCTACATTAATTAGTGCACGTGTAAAAGCATTGTAAACATCATAGCTGATATTTGTTATATGGAAATGGGTTCAGCTTCTAATGGAAAATGAACATGCAGTGCAAATGGCCAATTTACGACCGTCATTTTTAATTAATCGATCCTTAATAGTTGTTGTTCTATGCACAGTAATGTGGACAATAACGCACGCGGATGAAGCAGTAATTATCCGGGTGAGTTATTGTTAATGCTGCAAGCAGAAAGCTATTCTTTGTCTATGAGCGTGCGGGAATTATCTATTATTGAACGATTTTAATCTATGTTTTATCATATTTCCTACAACGGCCATAATCAACGTCAGCTTTTTTGAACACTATTTAAAATACAGTTATTTAAAACGCCTACGTTTCGTTGAATAAAAGAGGACAATCAATCAAGGAAGGTAGAAAAATTTCAGTAAACACAATTAAGTTAATTAAAAATATTAACAAGTAAAATCGGTTTTTAGCGACGCATATGTGTTTTTAAGCAATGTGTCTCCTTACGCCCTAGATCTAAATGCAATAGAGCCATTGAAAACAAATGAATGCTTTCTTCACATATTGCTAATTTTCGTGCAAATTTCACTTTGTGTATAATTTGGTCAATTTATATTATTGAAATAAAAATTTTCTTTTTTTTATATAAACTACTTTGCACCGCAAGCGAGTCAACTAACTCTGTGATGGGCGAATAAAACCAGGAGAAAATAATGCTGCAAAAGTAAACTGCAATGAAGAAATATATCAGCGAATTTACCTGCGGCCTAAGTAAGCCCAAGATAATGGAGAGCCTCCTCAAAGTTGATAGAAAACGGATTACGGGGCTTCACCTTAATAAGAAAGTAAAAGTGGCTTCTGGCGTATCTGCTCCGTATCTTACCGAAAATCCTTAGAAGCAGATAGTCTTGACATGTGTATACTTTGGCAAATAGAGCGCAATTTATCGTTTGTGTATTTAAGTTGAAAGCACATTTTTTAGGCACGTTGAATTTGTAACAAAAATATTACAATTGGAAGACTTACTTTAACGTCCGTTTCAGGTTGGGTCACTCTAACTTTAAGAGATCCGGACATAACATACTTTGGTAAATAGAGCAAAATTTATCGTTTACTTATTTAAGTTGCAAGCACATTTTTTAGGCGCGTTAAATTTGTAACAAAAATATTACAATTGGAAGACTTACCTTAACGTCCGTTTCAGGTTGGGTCACTCTTTAAGATATCGGGACATAACATACTTTGGCAAATAGAGCGCAATTTATCGTTTATTTATTTAAGTTTCAATCGCATTTTCTAGGCGCGATGAATTTGCAACAAAAATATTACAATTGGAAGACTTACCTTAACGTCCGTTTCACCTTGGGTCACTCCAACTTTAAGAAATCCTGACATAACATACTTTGGCAAATAGAACGTTTTAGAACGAATTTATCGTTTATTTATTTAAGTTTCAAGCACATTTTTTAAAAAATATATTAAAATTAGGAGACTGACCTTAACGTCTGTTTCAGGTTGAGTCACTCTAACTTCAAGAGATCCGGACATAACAGCGTACCAGCACTTTCCCGTATCTCCTTGACGAAAAACTGCAACAAAACACGAAACCAATTAAAAGAAAAGCGCCGGAAAGTGAAATGCATAATTCATGTCGCTTCATTATTAGTTGAATTTAAATTTCCTGCTAATTAACATTGGAAATTGCTGAATATATTTGAGCTGCTAAATTCAAACAGTTAAAAGCAATAATTCACAGGATTATTCTCCTGCTGGAACGCTCATTTTGATAATTTATTCAGCGGCTTCTATACAGTGCAACAGCTAGTTGTTTAAGCATTTATAAATCGAAAATAATCAGCTATTGAAATTGAGCATATTTTCAAAATCAATAAAGTCCTGACCATTTTCACTGCTCTAATGGTTCAGACATTTCCAAACAAAAAATTAAACGTGTAAAGGCAAAAAAGGGGCGCTTCAGTTGCAATGAACATAAATCATTCCTGTGTTGTAACAAATCAGCTATGTTCGAATGCAACTGACCGAAGCTTGTGTCCCATTAATATCTCATGACATGCTTGTTAATACCCACAACCAATTGTGTTCTGACAATTTAATATTAGTTCACATGTTGTTCAATTGTTGCATGATTTGTTACTGCAATTTTAAATAAACATAGTTTGGACGTCAGTCAACAATGCGGTTTAATCCAAATGTTGTAAAATTACAATGTATTCAGATGTAGTCTCCCATTTCCTTCGCTAGTTTAGATTTTCTTGATAAATTGTCGGATTCTGGAACTTATTTAAGTTAACCCATGTGGTTAGTAAATTTCACAATATAAGAAGCAAAAGTATAACTATAATTTTCGGATGTTCAAGAAAAGATACGAATGTTTTCAGAAGTTATGAGTCAAATTAAAAACATTTTTTTTTGTAAAAGTGACAAAGCTGTTGTTATAACCGTTGCCTACTAAAGTAGCAAAGGGAAAGCAGAGGCAAAGCCAAATTATGGGGCTAATTTGACTTTAAAGGAAAACTTTAGAAACTTCAGTCTGCCCGGTTTTCCAAATTTAAGTGACTGACTCGGAATTTTTTATACATTTGAATATTTACGATGTTTTTTATTCTTATTTTGAATTTACTTCAATAAAAGTTATTAAACATTATCAAATCTTTAATTTTGTAAATTATAAATCTGCATTAGGGTCTTAAATAGCTATATCATAGCCAATGAACTAAAACTGGTAGTAATAAACTTAAATTACAACTAAAAGGTATAAAATACAGCAACAATACAAAAAAAATCATATCGTAAAAACAAAAAATCATGCTAATTTTTGTCTCTCTCCAATTATTTAATAACTTTTAGTTTAATAATGATGTCATTAAAATATGTAAACACTTCATACTCCATTGCATAAGCACCAACTCACAGATTATTTGTTCAGATTTTCTGGTTCACAGCAGAAAATAAAAATGCATATTTTTACTTTATTTTTCGTTATGTGCAGATCTTTCCAATCGTAATTTTTTACTTTACCTTTAATACTGTTTAATTTAACTTTTCTAACGAAGTTTTCTCGACTCTAGTTCTTCGACATTTGCATCCTCTCTCTTGTTATCCAAAATTAACTACTGCACTTGAAAACTGCATATAATTGCAAAGAATTATCTCTTAATTACAGAGTTACTTAGAGAAATATTTCATCCAATAAATCAGTTTTTAATAAAATGCACCTTAATTACGTTAATTTCTTAGAAAAACGCTGTTACTATTACCATTTACTCTTTGTTATTTTCCATTTGATTTTTACATTTTACTCTCCTAAATGGTACTAAGGTTATTAATAAAACTATGGTTAACAGCGTACTGCTTACATTAAAACATCCTGTAGATTCTATTCTAGTGGCAACGACTTCAAAAACTATTGTATCTCCAGACACATAAATATGAAAATAAAACAAGTATGAAATAAAAGCAAAGAGCGCTAGCCCGGCCCTAATAAATTTTCCAGTTAAATGGAAATAAAGATGCAGAGAATAAATTTTCTACGGTGCGGATTGGAACAAATAGCGAAAAATCTGAAAGCAAAAACAGTCCGCGAAAGATATAAAATATAACTTAATAATTAGCTTGTAGCAGAAGCAGCGAAGGGCTTTTAACTGGTGAAATAGTTAATTAAAATTTGGGAAAGTCAAGAAACTTTTGAACGCTTCCGAGAACTTCTAAATTGGTTAGTAGTTAGTAATCAAATAAAATATATTCTTGTTGTTTCCGGTAAAAAAATCCAATGTTTAGGCAACTATCAAAGTTTCTAGTCGTGGAAAACTCTGACAAAACTTCGACTTTTCCCATCTGGCTGAAGGTTTTAATCCTCAACTCTTTTTTGAATTTTCTAGCTATTGTTTTATTCCAGTTTTCTTGAGAAATGTTCCAAACGATCCGTAATAATCCTCTTGGGGTTACAATTTTAATATTCCAAGAATGGACATTGAACATTAATTTTCGTCCCACTGGCGGTCGAGTTAAATTGCACTAAACAACCGAGCCGAAAATCTCAGTTCTCTTTTCTTTTTTCCCTCTGATTGGATTAACGGGTTTAATGTCCCAAAGTTTTTATGTGCGGTCGTTTTGCAAAACTGAATTTTAAAGCACATATTAAAAAACTTATTCAGAACACTCATTCAATAAAGGTGCGAATGGAATATTGACTCGTCTACTTTACATAGTCAATTTCCATTTTTAAATATGAATTAAGCGGTTGAGGTGCTTTGAGGTGGGATTAGTTAAATGAGTTAATCTATTCCAGCTGGTATTTCTTCTCCCAAGTTTAGGGGGTCCGAGTAGGATTTTTTGCCCATTCTAATTACTTTTTAGTGTATATTTTTCCTATCCACAGGCGCGTCAGAATTTAATGGATTTTTTCTTCGTTCAAAACTTCTGTTTGAGGTCTGCTGTTGCAATGCTATTTTCATTTAACTCAAGCTTTGCATTTCGTGATAATTAATTTATTGGCTTATTCATTTTTATGGGCTCTAATTATTAATTATTTTTTAAAAGCCTTATTAAGTTTGGAAACCATTTCTGTACAGGAAGAGAGAACTCTAAGTGGAAGGCATTGAGGTATATGAGGGGACTACTAGATTTACAATATAATCTGGAATGTAAGAAATTATTTTAATTAGGTGAAAAAAAAAATTAACACAATATTTTTGTTATTATTCAATACATACAAACCCTGCTTCATAATATAAAATAGCGTCGTAAATTTACGCTTGGTATATGGAAAATGGACTGGAAACCATTGAACATTTGCAATTCCTGTCGTGCAATGGGTTTAGGATAAACACAATTAGTTTATTTTGACAAAATTCTATTTATTACCCTTTGATATTAACACGTTTACCAATTAGTGATAGATCCATTATTAAACGTATAAATTGCTCATGTTAAAGTGCAATTCTATGTATTAATTAATCACGTAAAATCCTATGAAAATATATTTTTGGGTGAAATTAGAAAATTAATTAACAGAAAAACGAAAAATGAAAGGGATGCAGTATGACAATATGAAGTAAACCTGAACAATATTAACAATTGCATAGTCAGAACTCGAAGATGTATTAGAGTGCAATATTATCAAAAATCGTCAGCAAACCAACTCCATATCGAAAGCCTTCCATCGAAAAATCCGAGCCCAAAAATACGTTTCTCAATTACATCTAGCGAATTTGAGGAGGATATTTGCGGAGAAGATCGTCTCTTCGGATTAAATAAAAGTCCCCCGACAACTCGCAGTAATAGAGTGATCCATTTCCCATCAAAAATATTTCCCTTTCGGGAACCCCTAACATACATATTCCGTAAATGTGATGACATAATTTTGGATTCACAAAAAGGAAAAATCACTTTTCAATCGGCCGTTTAGAAAATTGGGGGATTTGATTACGTTTTCGGGATCAAAGGTTTTGAAACTAGGGGAAAAGTTTATGCGGAAGACATTTTTTCCACTTTCTTTGTGTTTACGAAGATGATATCGAATGATATACTTTTTTCAGGCATTTCAGTATACCTTATTGTTGTTGATAAATGTCCGAGGTAAGGTCAAGCTGAGCCACTCGAAAGCTGTTGTTTTCGTTTTATTTCCGATAGAGTACCTCTTAAAAGCCTCGGCCATCTCAAATGTAATGGATTTTTAAGTTGCTTTTGTTCTCTCAAAATGATGTCGCCAGAAATCCCAGCCAATTTGAGCCGAATAAAAGCGACATTAAATTTTATTAGTTGGAAAGGATACTTTAATATTAACATTAATTAATTAGCAAGTTTCTATTGTTGAAGGAGAATTTGAGGTTGTGTCTTTTGTTCTTTAAAAACAATTTAAAGAAACTAGTTAATTGGGGCTTTTCTTTAAAAACTTTTGATCCGGCACTTAAATTTTTTCAACTGGAATATATACGTGATCCCTGCTTAAGTACCTATCAGATTGAACAATTTACCAACAAGGATTGCTAAACAGAATTTTTTTTATTAATATAAGTGTATGATGCAAAATCGTCATCAATTTAAGCGCAGTCACATAATGGTGTTTAATTTTAATATGCCCGTAGGAAGTTTAATGTTTGAATTAACAAACATGTCAGCAGATGCATATTATATATGGCTTTGGTTTCTAACTATCCAGATGTATATTATTCATTATAATTCCGGGACTAACGGCAATTGTCATAGTGAAATATTCGCAGTTATTCCATAGATAAAGCTTGGATATTTGCTCAAAAACTCAATAAAATCATATTGGATCAAGATTTTACTGAACTGCAGCAATCATTGGGGTAAGAGCAATAATCAAAAGGTCCAAAGTTTCAAATAATAAATAAAAATAAGTAAATTCAACTCATTTCACAGTGGTGTGAAAAAAGTAAAGGAAATAAATGTGTATCCCAGTATATCGAGGCCACGACTTTTAAGTCTAAAATGTTCACATCGTTTAGGGAACGAACTGAATGGGGCTGGTTAAACATAGTTGATAACAATGTTACTTAATTTGAGCAAAGTGGCAATGATTCTTGCAAATTACATCGAAATCTTTATCATTTCAATAAGCGCACAAATTGTGTTTTGATTTCTTTATGATGAAACGATTGAAGAAAGCTTTTTTCATGAAATTCTTTCGCAATTTAAAAAACATCTTTGTCGTTAAATCAGTCAGAAAAAACGAAACAAAAATTTAAAAAATTACCAATCGATTCTGAGTGGATTTTTCAATGCATTTATCATGCTGTGGCCTCAATGTGATTATTCCAGATTCAACATTGCGTCTTATTTTATTGCAAAATTCAACCTGTTTTCTGGTTTTTAACAACAGAATCTGGAAATTTCTACCCAGGTAACTGAACCCGTAAGCAATTGCTTCGCTTTTCTGGATTTGGAACATTTCGCAGTATCTACTCTAACCAGAAGGGGCCACTTCTATTTATGAAACACAATTCTCATGAAATAAGAGAGAACTTTGTAGTGAAACCAGCCAACCTTTCATAATATGCACAAGAAGGGCAATTGTTGTCGCTTGAGCAATTTCTTTTAATATGAATTGTGTATTTAATTTTCCAAGCTTTTGCGAAGGTTGCAATAAAACGCTACTTGCAATAAATCTCAGTACTGAGCTACAAACGGTGTTTGTTTGATATGCCAAGAAGCCGTCGTTGGAAGAATTTTTCCAGTCAGACAATCACTTAATTAAACACAGTTTAAACCAAATACGCGCACTTTCTACATAAATGGCAAGCGGCTTACATTAAACCTAATCTAATATCAAATGGTGATAATAAACAGGCTTGCTGGTAATCCGCCGCTTTACAGCTAGAACAACCGCATGTTTTCCAGCACATAACAAGGCCAATCAATTCAAAACAAGTTTTCCAAACGGCCCCAATTTAATAAAAAATATTTCCTTAATCGTAAAACATTCGGGCAATTTAAAAACCCCTGCGTTTATGCCCTTTCCGGAAAGCTAAAGCTCGAATCCTCGTAAATTCTCTGCTTTTTGGATAACGTTTACGCTGGGAATTGAAATATGCCAGCCATTATCTTGATATGAGCAACAATTGTTCAGCTTTCATAACAATTCAACATGTGCTTTTATGATTTTCGAATTTAATGTCTACAAAATGGCAGAGAAAATATTTATAGTTTTTAACATTTTTCTTATATCGAATTTAGGAATAAGCTGTTGAAATTCAGAAGTGCCTATTGAAAAAGTCAACAATTGATTCTTAGGAGAGAATGTAAAAGAAAAAATAAAAAAAATGCAAAACGGAAAACGCAATTAAATAAATCTATTGACTAGCGACAGTAGAAAAAGAGCATAAACCTACAAGTGGTCCATTCAATTGAATTGCGCAAAATAAATAAGAGGTTACATTCGAGTCAAGATGACCTGATTATTCCCAATAGCAGACTCTAAAATTATTGCACAAAACCGGTAAATGTTCCCTGAAGTTAGACCCATAAAATTAAAGATAATTTCCGCATAGTCGAAACAACCACTCATTCACTATTAATGCGATCAGAAAGCCCCATTTGCTAACATGTGCGGTTCAACCTGCGTTCTTAGGCTCATAAAATGTGCCTATCCGAACTTCCCACTTTCCTTTGCCCCAATGTTCAGATTGCTCGCCTTTCTTATTATCTCATGTAAATAAGCTCCTGGGATGTTCAACAGAATAATTTCAGTGGGAAGGAAAGTTATTAATTCGAATATTGCAATAAAGCCGCCAGTTAATTTAAATATGCAAAATCAACTTAGACGACATTCAATTGTGCTCACGAAATTAATTTAAGTGCTGTTTGAAATTGGCAATTAAGAGAAAAACACGTTTTCCAAATGGGCAAGTGAATAATGAAAACGAGGAAAGCTATTTGTGAAAGCACATAGTATGGGAGATGGGATAACTCCAGCCTAAACCCGGATTATCGTTCTTCCTTTTATCAACTTTATCACAAAAACTTCATTGCTAGTCAAAGCAATTCAGCATTTATTTAATTAAATAAGCGTTAATTAATATGAGTCCAAACCGATGTTGGCTGCAGCGTCTCAGTTAAATCCTCAATAAATTCTCAAACCCCCAAAAGGGCAGCCTGGTTTTAATTAGTTAAAATTTATAGCTGCAGTTATCTAACCTGATTTTGGATAAACGTCCGTTTGAGCGGTAAAGCGGGGTGATTTAACTTGCCTACGGTTTTCCAGCTGAAGAGCCATAATTAAAACCTATACTGGCCCCTAACAGTAGGGGAACACACCTTAATTAAGAAATCTACCTTTTTCAGTGTATTTTACAGTCAACTGAAAAAAATATTAAGAATTAAAACAAAAATTTTTTACATTCAATTGGAAATCAAAAGGTTATTTAAATTTACAAGGCCAAAATTAGAAGCGAATTGCAGAGATGCCAGGCCTTTAAGTGAATTAAAGGCTTTGTGAATAATTTGCATTGAAATATTGCTGCGTGGAAACATAATGGAGATGAAATTCCCAACAAAAAATGATAAACCCATTAGCAGAAGATTAAACGCACTTATGTGATAAATGGGAGTAAAATGTTGCATGTATACGTGCCTAATTGGCTTTTTCCGCAGGCAACTGGTAAATATTAGATCGGCAAAATAATGTTTTAAGTGTCTGCCAGCGCAGCGCACCTTATATAGGTTAAAGTAACCGCTTCTATTTGTTGATGGTTATGAAGTTGGGAGTTTATATTTGCCTCCAGACATAGGTTGAAATGTCTGGAAACAGCAGGGATTTTGATAAGCTGTGCAAATATTACAAATTAATTTTCATTTCCAGCCACTCACCGCTTCAATTCCCATTACTGTGGTGGTTTCGATTTTCTGCAATTTCTGCAAAAATAACCTAGCAAGACAGGAAATTGCTGGCAGAACCTCTCTGACCATATATGTGCAATAAGCATTTTGAAAATAACCACTCACTAGCTTTAAATAAAGCTTGATGTTTCTCCAATAAAAATCCTGCTGATCTGGACTCTTTCAGGTATAAGTAGACAAATTTTCAGATTAAGCCTGCTGAAAAATTGAGCCGATAGGTAGCAGGAACTTTGAAAACGCAGAGCATTCCTGCCTGCAGTGAACTTTAAGTGGATTTGATAGCAACTTAGCTAGTAGTTTGCAGCGAAATTGCTCTTCGAAGTTCCAGCAAACTTTGCTCAGTCCCTGATGGGTTAGTAAATTGATTTATCTGGAAATAAGCTATTTGTTCATAACACTGATTTAGTTTCACAGTATTTCTGATCGTCTAAGTTTTGCGACACTGCATGATATCTCCTTTCCGCGTCTGCACTTAAATTAATAGCCAAGTAAACGGCAGAACGAGGTTTATACTTGAATGTGTTTCTAAAACGAACAGGAATCGAGCAAATAAATTGCTTGTCTTGGCGGTAACTCTTTGGAAATAGCGCTGTGCCAACTGATAGGAAATAAACTTATCTCCAAAAGTTTCCATTAATTAGTTTGGCGAACATTTCAGACGTTGAAACAGCCCAATATAAGCGTTAGAATAAGATTGCACGGACAACGGTGTGATTTTCTGTAAACTTAGATGCAGGAAAATCGTCTTCCTAATTGAACTTTTTTGGTATTTCATTGTTTAATCAATCAAGCAAGATGATGTTTGCCCTAATTAGGTGGAAACCACACAATTTTTTTTCAATAAATCTAATATAAATCTGCAATTACTCACGTGTAACTTCGTTTTCCAGATCTTCGTAATAGCCACATAATGCCAGCTGTTGCAGGACGGAATTTGGCAAGCGGCAAAGTTGGTCCACGCGTCGCAATCTGGCACAGATTAGTTCTACGTCTTTTACGTTCCGATCACAGGGTCTGGAACAAAAAAAATCTACATTTTTTTAAACTAATCGCAACAGAACTGGATAATGGGCACGGCTGAAAACTAATGGATTTTCAGCTGTTGTTTCTATATCATCCGGCAAAGAGTTAAGTAAAAGAGCGAATTTAGAACAGTATTCGCAAAAGTGAATACTCAACTGTGAAACATAAAGTAAATGAAAATGCATCATAAAACTAGACCGAGAGTTTTGAGAACTAAATAGTAATTTTGCCTGTAAAGGAACTCTTAAGTATAAGGTGTTGAAGTTTCAGGCGACTGGTTTTTACTCTTTAGAGCCGCTGTTTTAATTAAAATCTATAATTGAAACGAGTTTTGGAGCCTCATCCATTTAATATATGCCCGCAATTTATTTAGTCGTTAATTTTGTCAGCAGCAAGTCAAATCAAATGCGGAACTTAAAGAACATTGCTGATGCAAAGCGCTCCAATAAAATAATACTTAGGAATCCAGAAGAACTTCCTAATCTACTTCAAGTAATTTGGAAATGTATAATAAACCAATAAAAAATGTAATTAAATTGTTTTTTTAGAAGGTTGCAATTAACTGATGTTTTTAAATAATTAAATTATATCGATTCGTAATTATTTATTCAAACATGATCACACGTCTGAGACGCGTAAGAAATCATATAAGACAAGCGATTTTGAAAATGATCAGGATGGAATTTTCTTTAAAAAACATGACTGTGGTTGCCGGATCACAGTTTAAGGCTACCTACTCTCTGAATATTTTCATGAGCAATTTCTATTATTACTAAAAACACTGGTGTGCACGTTAAAAAACACAATAATTATCCATGTATTTACATATAAATTATTTAGTATTGAAGTTATTAATTTTGCTATCCCATTAAATATTAGTAAAATTGTCATAAGTTACTGTAATAGTAAAATTCGGAATAACGAACAGTAGCTTTATTGTGTTCGACTCATCGAGCGCATAAACTAATTTCCCATACGAACATTTTGACAACTAAATGGTAATTTCAATATTTTCTGGCTCGTGGTAATATTCATTATTATTATTGAATTTAGTAAGTACATAAAACACTTTAATCGTTTTCGCCCCACACGGAAATAAAACTTTATTTTTGGGAGGCCAAGAAAACACTGAAAGGTTCTTATTAATCCCAAATAGTCTCACATAATATTGAAGATAATATTGATGATAATAATGAAGAAGATGATAATTATTTTTATATATTAGTTAAAGAATTGGGTAATGGTTGGTTTATAGATAATGGCCTAACGATCTTTTTATAGAACTAATTGTATTCTACTAACACAACTATTCGTTCCGAAGAAATCTATGGAAAAACTAGCATTTTTTCCGATTCTAGGACTTCTGTCATACTACATTAAAATTTTCCTCAATAATGCTCAAATTTTGGGTGCCAAATACCATTATAGAAGAGAGGTTAATACCAAGTATTAATGTTTCTCATGCTTTTAAGGTGTGCGTTGAAGGTTTGGTGCCCGGTGGACGTTAAGGTGAGTTAGTAGTTCAGTTCACCTCGTTTTCTTTGCGCTCTTTGGATCCTTTGTTTAACGTGTCTTATAACAATTTTTTGCAATATTTAAGTTCTACAGCTGCTTTCCATACAGAGGCTAGATATAACAACGCTGAATTTATTGTAAACTCAAACGAACCCACGCAAGCTCAAACTAAGCAAACTAATTCAAATAAAAGAAAAGCAATTTCCTTAAACTTCCCGATCCATTGTCAAT